AGAGAGAGAGTGAGAGAGAGAGAGAGAGAGAGAGAGAGAGAGAGAGAGAGAGAGAGAGCAACTATTTTTTTTTTTGATATGGCAAGCTGGTCGACTGATATGGGGCTGAGGGTGGGATTGGCACACAGCGAAATGGAGTTTGTGTCCCGTTCTCCAAAGCCTGGCTTGCAAACCCGTGCCATCAATCTATTGCTTGCCGCTGAGTTTTAAATTGTTCATCAGCTCCTCAAAGGTTGGCTCGTCCCCATGCTGCATTTGGGCAATTTTCGAGTGAGAAGGCACAAATGCTTGGTCCATGATACCAAGGAAATTAAACCCACCTCGCGCGTCACAACTCGTTCGGGTCGGTTCTTGGAACGGTTCTTGGGCGTGGGTTGGCCTGGCGCCCGGTCTTGCCGAGTGACCTTGGTCTTGCTCTTACGGTGGTGTGTCGTGCCTCCCTGGGACGGTCTGTCCCAGCACGTGGCCCTTGGCTAGATGCCGCCACAGGAGCGGGAAGCTTGATGACTTGGTCACTGGCCGTTACCGGCTTTCGTGGTCCCTTCAGTCGGGGCTCCTTGCTCGCGGTCCTCGGTTTCTGACTCTTGGGCTCGGATGCAGCGGGAGGAGCTGAGGACTGCTTTATGTGTTTGGAGCCGGGTTGTGCCACTACACTGCCTGGTTTAGCCATTGGCGTGGGCTCGAGCTCAAGATCAGTGGCCCACGCGATGGACTCGAGCAAGTCTGCATCCGTCTGTAGGGGTTTGTTATCAAAACGCAAATAGCAGGTGGAGTGTGGTGTGAGCAGAAGGCGGAGACCACAAAATGAGTGAAAAAGAAAGAAGGCAAGCGCGCGTTGAATATGACGGACAATGACGCAAAGGTCCAGATCGCTCTTGTAGCTGGCAAACCCAGTCTTGGATGAGCCAAAAAGAAAAACGCGCGCGCCCTCAAATTGGCGCTGCCGATGAATAGTGTCCTGACAAGATACACATGAATAGTTGGCACCAGCCCATGAGGGTATCGCTCGCACATGGCGTGCTTGCTGGCGAGGACGGGCACGGTATCAGGAAGGGCGGTCGGGGCGGGCACAGGGCATGACCAGACCTCAACATCCTTGCGGATCAGCTCGCGTTTGTGCATGTCCGGGGGCAAGATACCCTTTGTGTTCACACATTTCGTCGCGATGGGGTGCAGCATGAATGGTGCATCCGCAATGTTCTACATTCATGCAACTGGGGCCAAAATCTACCTCTTTCAAAAAAAGCCCAGCGATGGAAGCGCTGGTAGGATCCAGGGATGGGTCAACCTCAGGTACGACGCGGTCGGGTTGATCTGGCAAGGGCTCGTCGTGATAAGCAGCCTCTTTTGCCGACGTTCCAAACTGTTCCCAGCAAGAACAGGGAACCACGTGGGCATGAAACGACAGTTGTATGTTCGCAACACGAGCTGGTCGGACTGGACACTGGTACCTCAATATGTTCGCGATGAACCTTCCATTTCAAGTGTGTAGGAATTTGCTTCTCAGCCATAAACTCAACGCAGACTTCGCACTTGTACTCTGCCTCAAACGCGGTCCCCTGGACCTATGAGAGGGTGTCAAAGAAGCGTGAGCACACAAAATGACCGTGGCAGACGGCAGCACGTCGGCACAGTGGCCAACCTGGGCGATCATCGGGTGCCCTTGAATGGGGTCCAAATTTTTGGGAAGAATACCGTTTCCTCGGGCCTAGATGGCGAGATCAAGGCGTGAGCGTGCCAAAGACGGGGGAATCAAGCACTGTGGGTCGAGACACCCCCGTACCGGTTTGCCATGTCGAGGAGTCTCGAGATGCTCATCCAACAGCTCTGGCAGGATGTAGGTTGGGGCGTTGCCGCGCATGCAGTGAAAACAAGCAAGCGTCGGGCAGTCTGCCGGTTTTAAATGTGTGATATGTTCGTGCTTCAGCTTTGCCTTGCTTGGCAGATTGGCATTTCGGCGACGAGGGCCCATGCCGTCGGCTGGTGAGTGATGTCGCGCCCGACCACCGCCATGAGCCGCAGCTGAGGTCTTGTGACGCTCATTCCGCCAAGAGTCCGCCATGCCTGCTCGATGCCGACTCTCTGACCCAGTAATCAATAAAATATGTTGCCCAGGCCTCCTGTTTCAATCGGCACGGCGTGAAAGACGAAACGCGTGGTGAGCCAGGTGAAGCCACAACGAGCTCGAATTGATAAATGCACGAAAGCAGCAAGTTCAAAACGGAAACGGAAACGAAACCCCCTCCCCCCGTGGCATGTGGATCAAGTCCCAGTCGAACACGATCATGGGCTAAATCAAGCCGCGCGCATCGCCAAGTCAGCCAAGCATACCTCAGACTATGGTCAAGATCCACACACCACCCAACGGCTTTGCCAGCAAGCGCGGAACGCGCCAGCGAGTGAGAGAGTGAGAGAGAGAGAGAGAGAGAGAGAGAGAGAGAGAGAGAGAGAGAGAGAGAGAGAGAGAGAGAGAGAGAGAGAGAGAGAGAGAGAGAGAGAGTTTGAGAGAGAGAGTGTGTGTGAGGGAAA